CGGAAGATTAAAGAAGTGTTTAAATCCAGTGATATTAGGTTTGTCTTACAAGCTCAGGATCAAAACGATTCTGCAATTGCCCTGAGTAGTTGACTTGTAAATGGCTGTGAATTAAGCAGATGACTTTTAATCTTACGTTATTCAGTCAGAAAACGTATTCCAAATGTTTTCTATTGCATGACAATGCATCTTTTCATCATTCAGTAACCAGTTGGAAAACCGCTTATGTTCCGAAAATAAATATGTGTACTCAATCGTCCTGCATGTTCTTCAAATTTGTCTTCTTGTGATTTTTTTTTTTTTTTTCTTTCCCAAAAACTAAAGTTGCCTCTCAAAGGAAAGTTTTTTGACATTGAAGAGACAAAAGGAGTATCACATCTACTTTTAGAGTCATGCCAAAAACAGATCTCTACAAGCCTTCTCTTCCATTACATGTTGTGCATTCAGACAAAAAGTTGCATCAGCGTAAATTGTATAATCTATTTTTATTAACATGCAGTGAATATATACTAAACCTTTTACTTTAGCTTCAGTAATTCAGAATTTTTGACGGAATTGTTGTCGGAACTAGGATTAGAAGAAAAGTCAAATTGAATATTTCGATAATACAATAAATTCAAGGTCAAAGTTTCAATATTTTATATTCGGAGGGAGGGAAAATTTTTCAGTTTTGGTCCATTTTCCTAAGTATATTTGCTTGATTCTTTATTTTTTCCATAAAAGCGAAAATCCTACGCATGGTATACATATAATGCATAGCTTCAAATTAAAGTTTAATAATATACAGGGCGGTTATAATTAAAGTTCCACTTTGAAACTGTCATAAAAGGAAAACTACTGGATCAAATGTTATCAAACTTGGTAACCGTGCGAAGGAGGTCATGGGAATTTATTTTCCGAGAAAAAAAGAAAGTTCGAAATCTCACCACCAGGGGGGAAATGGTGTTGTATGCAATATTGTTAAACGAAATATGGGTCAGAATGTAACTTAACTTTTTGTTACACAGGTTTAATATGTTGTATACTCTTAAGAAACTTTGAAGTAAGCAAATTACCATCTAAAGGCGTTAAATTCGATAAAAGCCGAGTGCGCCATTCATGTAAGGGAGAAATTCTTCCATGAAAACCACTAATTAGAGATTAGAAAATGTGAGATCACAAATCACTCGCACAAGTGCGTACAATCTGGAAATCGTTTTCTTACAGATCGCTAATTTGTAATTTTTGAAGCCTGAATTCGGCCCTAAAACATGAAGATACTGATTCAAAACGTTTTTAATTGATTTGGGCCAAAGAAATCCCTCATGTTACCTACCTAGTTCCATTGCATTTGATTGCATAGCACGGTGTGGAATGACAGCTAGTTTCATAACTGAACCATTTTGTCTGAAGAGCAGTCGACAGCTGGACTACTGTGATTGCAGCTCGCTTAGAGTCTATGTTAAAATGTTTCGTGATACATGAACTGCAGTAACGTGGCATTTTAGATACTAAGATTTTTATGCAGGACCACCTCACATGTGTCGCACAGTTACTTAGGCAACATTTCACGAATGTGCATCTTTTATAGGCCGACACTTCCCCTCTTCCTACCAGACCTCAAACCTCTGTGACTTTTGGCTATGGGGTTAACTCAAAAGCACTGTTTATGGTGATAATCTAAACAATTTGGCAGAAATGAAAAATGTGATACACCGACATGTCCATAACATTCCTCCTGATATGCTGGGCTGCTGTTGAGAATGCAGTAACAGAATTTAACTTGCTTTCGGAAAATGCTGGAAGCTACATTGAACATGCTTTGTAACACGTTTCGGAAACAAACTCATTTTAAACCAGTGTTTTCATGTCTTATTTCATTTAACAATATTGCATACAGCACCATTTTTCCCTTGGTGGTGAGTTTTTGAACTCCTTTATTTTTTTTTTTCTCCGCGGAAAAATAAATTTCCATAACCTCGTTTACACGATTGCCAAGTTTGATAGCATTTGGTCCAGTAGTTTTCCTTTTATGACCATTTCAAAGTGGAACTTTAATTATAACCACCATGTAAATTAAACTTTAAAAGTTTGACAGTTTGGTTCAAGTCCCAGCTTTAAAAAAAAAAAAAAAAAAAAAAAAAAAAAAAAAAAAAAAAGTATATAAATATAATTTTTATATTAATTTTCTTAGAAAGAATGTTTTAAGAAGCTAATTTTTCTCTCGCATTATAGATTGTATAAAAAAACATGATCTTTAATATGATTTAGATTGTTTCAGGTGATATAAGAATCGGATCACTCGGTGGTACAGGATAAACACTGCTGGACTGTTTCATGTCTTTGTCATTTAGCAAAATATCTTTTAATTAAAATATTTATCCTTTGGGCTTCGCTTTAAACTTTATTTATATTTAAAATTACTAGAAAATGAAAAGCTGTCTTCAGCTGAAACGCAATTCATGTAATTGATATTTTAAAAAAATTGACAAGAATGCAAAATTTATGGAAGTCTAGTAATCGAAAAATCTTAATTTTCTTGTGTGAGCACTGAAAATAACTGTAGAAGGAAAGTGAAAATTAGGGAGAAAAGTAAGCAAAAATTTGCAGGGAAATTTGGCTGTCAGGCATACCAAGATGTTGAAAGTTGGACGCTTTTGAATATACTTTCAGGATACTTCAAAGAATTTAGGTGTTCAAAGAGAAAAAACTTGGAAGTCTACACCAGCAAATGCCATCAATTGAGCTTGTGTTAACAGAAAAGACAAAAACGATATCATTGCAGATTAAAGTGAAAAGCGACTGGTTTTAGACTATATATGGTTGTATAAATTTAAATTACGTTATAGAACATCATATTGTATCATAAACGGAGAATCCCATGATTTCTCAGTCAAATTATTTAAAGATTCAGGAGTTTATCCAGTAATGTATCTGGATGTCACCTAAAGACTTTTTTTTTCTTCCTGATGAAACAGTGGCCAAGCGGTAAAGTTGCTGAACACTGGTAGTTCGGTCCGAGGTTTGAATCCCGCGAACGGGCTGGCTGCATGGGCGTTTCCGTGGTTTTCCCCATGTGTATACGAGCCAGTTTCCCTCAGAAAGTCCTGCACGAAGACATCCCTCCCATTAGGCAGATAGCCCTAGTGTGCTTTGTCATAATTAAATAAACCAAAACCTCTTGATGAAACCAGCCTTTCCTTTCATCTCATACCTTCAAAATGGTTAGCCTCTAAAGACTGATAAAGGCTCTAACCAAATACTGATGAAATGGATTGAATTGGATTATTAAGTTACGGCAAAGCAGGGCTATCTGCCTAAAAGGAAGGTGGTATGGTGGTGTATTTAATTATGGCAAAGCACACTAGGGCTATCTGCCTAAGGGGAGGGATGTGGACTTTCTAAGGGAAACTGGCTCGTATACACATTACACATGGAAAACCACGGAAACACCCATGCAGCCAGCCCGTTTGCGGGATTCGAACCTCGGACCGAACTACCAGTGTTCTGCGACTATATCGCTCGTGCGCTGGTGGGCCCCCTAAAAGGAAGGATGCCTTTGTGAACTTTCTAAGAGAAACCAGCTGTCATACACGTAACACATGAGAAAATCCACGAAAATGCCCATGCAACCAGCCTGTTTACCGGGATTCAAACCCCGGAGAGCTACCAGTGTTCAGCGACTTTAACGCTCGGCCTTTTGTTGGCCTTTATGAAATGGAAGGCGATAACTTTATTTAAAATGATTGTCAGAAATACCAAGATGTTTCGAAAAGTTGGATGCTTTTTAATATACTTGCAGAATGCCTAAAGAAAAAGAACAAGAATGAAGCAGAATACAGCAAGAAGCTTTACAGCAAAAGAGCAAGAAAAAGAGAAGAAAAAATAAATTTTTGCGTAAAATTTAGTATTTGTATTTTTTTAAATTTAAAACTTTTTAATCTTATGATATTTGATTCTTGCTATTTTAAAAATAAAATATTTGACTAAAATATGAATAACATTTTAAGAAACCAAATGTAGGATAAAATTGTGTAAAGCAATGGGCACGATGATAAAACTGTTTAAAGCAATGTATGCAAGTCAACCTAAGTTAAAATGTCGGTTATACATCTTTCTCATTTATATATCTTTTCTGAATGGAACATTGAAAGGCGTGTGAACTGTGCTTTACTGTATTTTCTCTTTTAATATATTCAGTTTTCAGATGCACCGTAGTCTGCGACACAAAGTTTTCGTCTGAAAGAACCGCAATTCAAATAAATAAAATAAAATCCTGGAAAATTTATATTAATAAATATATTTAAAATGCTCAGTTTGAATGAATAAATAAAAATTTAAAACATTATCTGAAGAGACAATGCAACACTAACAATTAAAATAAAAGTCTAAAAATTTAAAAATTTCCTAAATAGTAACCTATGACTAAAAATATAGTATAAAAAGAAAACTATTTGAAAAAAAAAATAAATAACGATGCACCTTTATTTAAACTACGCAGTTTGAATAGGTTAAAAGAAATTTTTTAAATAGTTATTCGAAAGAAAAAACCCTGCTGCAACTTGAAACTAATTAAAATGAAATTCGAAAAAGAAAAAAAATTACTTAAAATAATAACACTTATAATTAAAAATATAATATGAAGAATATATTTGAAAAAAAGGAACGATGGTGTCTTTTTTCCCCCTTACGGGAAAGGAAAATAGGTTGCCATATATTAAGAAGTTCGCCAAGTGAACTGTTCTTGGTGCAATTGAGAAAAAGCGCCAATATAAACTGTTGAATTTCTCCATAAATTTCGCACCAAATTTTACAAAATTTAGTATCTAGGCATAATTTGAGTCGTAGAATCGAAATATGTAAAAAAAATGGTATGTTATTTCAGAAAAAGTCAGATTTTGTGTCAAAATACCTATGTTAAAAAAGTGTTATATATAAATCTAAGTCGCGATTTCGAGACATAAAGAACGCAATTTGAATTTTGTGAATCAGCCCAGTAGAACGGGAAATATAGAACTGTCTTTTTTTTTTTTTTTTTTTTTTTTTTTTTTTTTTTTTAAAGCAGTGTACCTATTTTCTACAGCCATCGCACTGTGAACACGACCTCCTATGTGACATTTGCTACACATTCCATTTGTGTGAAATTATTTCTAAAGCCTTGAAACAGCGGCTGACGTCAAACTCCCTAGCAATGTTTTATTTTTTGCACTTTTAATATGGCCAATAATGCGACCATGTATAATATCATCTAAGTGACATCAGGAAGGCATACAAAAATTGCAAATTCATCAATTGATTCTTTCCCGTTAAATTTTGCTTTTGAACAACAAAGGTCAATATGCATCAAATCCTTTTATCTTCTCTATGATAGCATCACGTGACAAACTGCTTTGGCAATCCAAAATTTGCATATGCACAACAGGACTTTCTGTATCCCACACTTTTGCTAATTTCCACATTTTCCAGCCTTCCATTTTGTGGTTGCTGTCACTGCTACTGTCATCCATCCTTAGCAATTATCCAAAAGTGTATAAATTTCCTAGTATAGTAAAAAAAGCAAACACCTTTTTTTTTTTTTTTTTTTTTTTTTTTAGGAGACAAGATATATATACTATAAAGTTATACTACTACTACTACTATAAAGTTAACATATTTTATAGCACTTTTAAGTAGCATTTCCTTTTTTTTGGGGGGGGGGCAAATACCTGAAAAATAACACCAAAGTTGGTATGTAAATTATTCTAAAACTATGTTACCCGAACTACCACAACCCACATGTTTTTTTATTCCAGCTTATTGTAACATTGATTTTAGAAACGAGGGAGACTAGGAAGAGATTTAAATGAAATTAATGCAATAATGAACATATAATAAATCAATGTATAAGTGTAAAATTATTTAAAAATAATTTTTAATTTTAAATAAATACTTATTATAGAATGGAAAAACTCAAGATTTTCTGTAACCCACCAACAATGAACAGTGCTTTTCTGTTATTGGAACCAGATTAAAAAATCTATGTATGTATGTGTATGTATATACATTCACACTCATGTACACACACACACATATACACACGTGCATTTCTGAATTTGGTCCCAATAATAGAAAAGAATCAAATTAACTTGCAATTCATACTTCATGCTAATTCAGAAGTTTCAATTTAATTTTAACTATATCTGTTACAAATATAATTTAAAACTTTTGATGGAACATATGACATTCATTCACAAATTCAAGATTAAGTACAATTTAAAGATGATTTATCCAGAAAAATCATAAAATAATTTTGTAAAAACTAAATTAAAAAAAAAGAAAAAGAAAAAAATAGACTACAACAGAAGACTGTCATTATAAAAAAATAATATATTAACAGAAATTTTATAAATAAACAATTCTGGGGAGGGCTTAGCATATAAATATCACTACAGTTCTCAAATAAAAGTTTTGATAACTAAAAGAAGGTTATTATAAATTTTATTTTATTTACTAACCTGTTTAATAAAATGAAGATTTGATTTTTTATATTTTAAGCAATGAAGCTATTAATATGAAAGATGATACTAATTCAGAAGTCAAACAATAAAAATCAGCATTTTGTTGTTTGACTTTTGAATTAGTATTTGTTCGGCGTGTTATTGTGTCTTAATGAAAGATGATGTTCCATTTTTAAGGATTATTCAGAATTTTCTTTCAAACTCTGACCTCAAAAATTAATAGTTGCTAGTAAAATATTACATTGAAAATTGCAGTTTCCTTAGATTTTAAAAAGGTAAATATTTTTACAATTAAAAATAAAAAATAAATATTTAAAATTATATAGGTATTATATCTGGATGCAAACAAATCATACCAGGAAATGCAGCATACAAAATCATAGCTGCGAACATTTGACAATATTTGCATCAGTGATAAAAACAATATTTGAATACAACACTTTAAAAAAATTATAAAATATCACAGTTTGACAAATAATGTGGTAGCATTATTATCAAGAGAAGTTCCGATTCCTTTTTTAAACTTGGCAATTCTTCTTCCTGTAAGTAAAAATATACATCCTAAAATAAAAGAATTCTGTTTGATAGCATCTAGAAATATTTTAATATATTGCCTATTAATGAATTTAATATCATTAAACAATTACAACTAAATGATGCCATTTATAGTAGCACTGTTTTCAAAAATGGGAATTTTTTTATAATTTTTCAAGATCGGAGATCAGATGAGTTATCACATGCATATTACACATTAATTATACTAGTCAAATTTGTTTCTGTGATACATCAAACTCCTGATTTTTCATGGATCATCTAAAAACAATCGTGGGCCACACAAAACATGTTAAGTTTTAGAATAAACTCATGATTTTTGAAACTGAATTTCATTTGATGGGGAGGGGAACTGATCTATACTAGAAAAGATGAATGTTCTATAAAGAAGAAATAATAGCATCAAGTTACACAACAGAATGACTAAAACAATGAATTCTATAGGATTTCAGCAAACTGAGACATTCTGCGTATATGGTGAAGACGGGAATAAAATAGCAAGATCAGCTACAATAATGCGCACACTAACTATTATACTGTTAAATTAATCACAATTGTTAGGTGAATAGCTTAGGTTAATAATACCAAGCTTTATGCGATTTGCTCCAAATTATCTAAATATATAGAAAAGAAATACATTTTTCAGAAGAAAATATTTAAATTTACCAAGATTTTCTGTTTATTTTAATAATTTTACAAAATTATACATTAAATAGTGTGCTGTATATCATAATTTTAAAGCCTCTAAAGTGTTAAGTTTTTTCCACTATCCTGGTTTTTCAGTTATACCAAGAACCAGTGGTATATCAGAAAAAATAACTGAGAAATTAATGCATTTCTTGAGTTAAAGGAATAATGTTATTAAATCAACTAATTCCTAACTAAAACATAAAGTGAAAATAAAAGATTCAAAATATATTTAAATCTAGAGATGCAAAATTATGATGTTTCGAATTTAAATAATTTGATTTAATTAAAACAGTACTTTCTGGTTATCCTTACACCCCTCCCAAAAAACTTGTCACTAATTTTTTGTTAAGTTAAGATGTAAATAGCCATTTTTACAAATGGTGGTACACCAAGAATTACATAAAACAACAACCATTTAATAAAATCGCAAGAAGCATCCATATGGAAATTTCTTTTTTTTTTTTCCCCACTGTTCCAACAGTGTATACAGTGAATTACAGAACAACAGAGTATTACAGAAACTTGGCATCACATACAACACTGTTGTTCTCCCTATATGCACAACAATCTCTCAGTGTTTAAAAATCAGAGAATTTCACAAATTTGGCATCATTGCTGCTTTTTTCCTATATATATTCTACTGTAAAAGCTCAAAGTCTGGTAAATCTTCAGCTTTACCGGTAAAACATAGCTTTTACCAAAGTGACTTGGTAAACGTCTGAAGTATGCTTTACAGCAATAGTACTCAACTTTTTTTTGGTACTGGGGCACATAATGCACTTTCAGAAAGCAAAGTGGGCACCACATAACTTTTCCACCCCGGCTGATATACAGGCCATCCCTTAGTGGTATTATCACGTTACTAGTTAAATCTAGCTCGTAAGAAAAAAAAGCACCCTCATAAAGAAGATTAAAAAAAATGGATCGAGATAGAAACAAAATATCATGCACAAAAATTTTATTACTTACAATATAGTCATGTCTTTTCTGTCTGTAGTGTTGCACTTAATGTGATTTTTGACACTGAATTTCGTTTACCAACATATGAACATTAGGTACATACGCTGAGGTTCCCCGCACACAAGCAATTGTCAAGATGCGAATCAGTGAGCCTGCTCCGGTTTTTCGACTTGATAATGTTCATGGTTTAAATATTCGCAGAGGTAGGTAGACCCAAAACAAAATTTGATTTTATATGCAATACTTCTTGATAATGGAAACCTATTCTTTTCCACAAGTTTCCATAAGTCTGCATCTGTGACATGTGCTTGTAGGATAGTATCATTCTCCAGTTCGACTATTTCCACGTTTGTGGCAATAATTCTTGCAATTGCTGTGGCGTTTCAGTTGCTTCGTAGTGAATGGGTTGACAAAAAAGCTCACCGCTAGCTCCAGGCAACTGAAATTTTGAAATCACTTTCAAATTGGTCCAGAAGCATCTTAAGATGGCCGGAAAATCGCAAGGACCCAAAATTGTCATCATTCACCAATTTTGTTCTTGTTTGGAAAATGAACCAGGGATTTTGATCTCATTTGAGACATCTTTGAAAGCTTTCACAGATCCCATCATTTGAGCCAGCTCCTTATATTTACCCTGAAGATCCAGGTTTAAAATGTTCAGTTTCTCAGTGATGTCGGCATGGAAAGCCAGATTAAATAACCACAAAGAGTCATATAGTTTTTCAATGTGTTTACTGAATTTGTCAGGGTTAGATTGCATGAACTCTTTTATCTGCTTGGTAAGCGATAAAAACCTTGATAGAACTTCTCTGCTGAGCCATCAGACTTCTGCATATAAGATGAGGTCGACTGTTTTACCTTCGGAGTCTTTCACCAGTGCTTTAAAAAGCCGGTGTTTAAAAGAAGCCACATGAATAGAATTGATAATCGATGTGACAACATTCATGATGCATTCGAATGGAAATATCTTTGCGCACAACGCTTCTTGATGAATGATGCAGTGATAAGACATGAAGTTTGAAAAACACTCGCCTTTCTTGCACAAAGTGACAAAGCTGCTGGTTCTTCCTGTCATGGCAGGTGCTCTGTCTGTGGTAACTGCCGATAGTTTTTAAGCGGCAAGCCAATTTCTGCCGCAAACATCTTAAAAGCTTTATAAATGTCCTCTCTTCGTGTTCTCATCGTCAAGGCAGAATTTTTAATAATTTTTCTTTAACAGAAAAGTTGTTAAATACCATTCTTATCATAACAGCTAACTGCGACATGTCAGAAATATCCATGGACTCATCAAATTGGAGAGAAAAACCATTCACATGTTTCCAAGTCTCTCTTCAGTTGAGACTGCATGTCATCAGCAATTGCTTCTATTCTCCTTAAAACAGTGCTGTCTGATAATTGAAGGTTCTGAATTGCTTTGATGACTTCACGCTTGTTAGAGAATCCGTCAAAGAGGTTTTTGGCATCTGCAAGAAATGCTTCCATCAGCAACCCACGGTCTGAAAATGTTTTTCTTCTTCCCCAGCAAGTGAGCAATTTTAACGAAACTGCATTTTTGGACTTTGAAACTGGCCTAACAAACAGTGATTGCTGCACTGAAAGTTTCAATTTCAGCTCACATACTTTCTTCTTCCTAATTTCTGAACCGTCCGGGTAGTTTGTTGAAAATGTTCCATGTCTGAACATGACATTCCACATTATGTTTCTTGGCCAATGCTACAGTAGTGCCACACAACAAACACACACACACACTTCCCTTTCACATCAACAAAGCAATACGTTTCTTCCCAGCTGGAATTGTAATTGTATATCTTCTGCCTTTTGCTGGGCCCACTCATCCAGGGGTAAAAAAAAAAAAAAAACCAAATCGCTAAGCCCCAATGCAGAATGAGGATGACGGCAAGACTGGATGCACCACTAACACTGTCACTGCCAAAAGCTCAAAGAAGATTGGTGAAGAACGTGGGTCAAAAGTTTCCCTTTGCACCTTGTTAAATATTTAATATAATTGGGTCATACCGTCAAGTCAAGGGTCGACTCTGACCTGCAGTTCCCTTCATTTTTGTCAGCCCTGTTTGGTGTGGTGAGCTTTGTAATATCGTGCTCCGAATCTTAAAACTTTATCGTTCTATTAACCAGTGAGGATGCCCGGTCATTACAAAACATAATACAGAAATTAAGTCCTTTCAGTGAAATTTTTTGACCTTCTTAGTAGCTGCATTCAAGGTCATGTACGTGTCATTCACAGGCATTTCCGGAATTTATCTTTCCTTTTTTTCAGAAATTGGGTAGCAGGGCCTCCCAGGCCCGAGGCGTGCGTTCGATTGTTAGCATTGTCACTTTAAACCGGACAGAGGTGACAAGAAGAATGAAGTTAAGACACACCATCACTCTCGATGCTTCCGAAACCCAAGACAAGGCCAACCAAGTTTCTACCCCTTCCCTGCCAAACCCCCTCCATGTGCGATCCCAAGAAAGACTGTTGCAGCAAAAACTATTTTTTGAACGAAGCCTGATGGGCACTATGCAAGGTCGCCTTGGGCATCGCGGTCACCGAGTTGAGTACCCCAGCTTTACACGGTTTGTATGGTCCTTAAGAGTCGTTCAAAATCCTTAGGTTTTTGGAATTGATTTTTGGTCCTTAAAAGTCCTTAATTTTGACCAAAATCGGCATAAGATACTTAATTTTAATCGTCTGAAATTTCTGTTTTACGACTCCCATTTTGAGTGTGAATTAGCATTTTGGAGGAATATTGTTGGCAATTCACTGACACATATGGTTATCTTTTCAATGGGTTCATGGGTTATCATTTGTTCCTATTTTTTTTTTTTTTTTTTCCTTTGAGAACATACAGACTCCCCATGCACCACATATGTACAACACAGGGCTTACAGAAGTAAGTTAACTAGAACATTAAAGGTTACATGTATAAATAAACATTAAAAATTACATGCATAAATAAAGCGAACAAAAGCAGAGAACAGCAGTCTGGACTTCACGAAAACAGATAAGTTCACTGGCCAAGTCACTCCGAACATTTTCAAATCGTTCTGTAAGCATAATCTAGGGCCATCAAATGTAGGGCACGAGAAAATCAAATGTTCCACATCCTGAGGAACTCTTTTTGAACATTCACATAAATTGTTGATCGTAGATAAAACGAAACAGATAACTTGCAAATTTACCATGACCAGATAAAAACTGAGACACTTTAAAATTTAACGAGAGGAAAGACTCGGAATTCAGTCTATGGTAAATAGAAGGAAGGAACTTTTTGGTGACTTCCGCATTACAAGATGAAATGTATTCCTCATTCCACATAGCTAAAAGCTTTTTATAA